TAGGGTGTTGGTTGGTTGTACATGGTAGGGTATTGGTACTGTAAACTGTGCATGGTGGGTGTTGGTTGGTTGGTTGGTATGGTAGATTGTCCATGATTGCTGTTTACTGACTTACAGCTGTGTTTGGCAGGATTAGCTTATGTTGTAATAGTTTGGCTTCTTCCATTTTCCCCTCTTTGAATAACTGATGAAGTTGAGTGACCTCCCTGCCAAGTGAATTAGCCAGGGCACATACACCACCAACAGCACCTATCAACATAATAAAGATTGTTAGTAACATTTTCAAAATCTTTGATTAGAATTTTTATTTTTGGGAGGAAGGACTGCTAAGACAGAGGTGGACTGCAATAATTGCACTATCAAAGAGAGACCTTTGAAAGCTACCATTGTCTAGTGGTATTCAATTTTACCTTGAGAGAGCCTTTATATGCATACTTTTTAATGTCAATTGAAGATATATAGCAATATTAGCTTATGTGTCCTTGAAGTCTCATATGAGACTTGGTAGCTCAGTGGTTAGAGCATGGCACCGGAATTGCCAGGGCACCGGTTCAAATCCCCTTCAAGACTTGCTTCATATGCTGCAAGGATCAGCTCAATTTGATACACTACAACTGTAGTACAAATATATATTTCATATATATTCTCATAAACATATTATATTTCTCTCCTATCAGGCAGATAAACCCAACTTATGTGTCCTTGAAGCCTCATATGTTCAAGATCCAGAATTTTCAATTTGCAGCTTCATATACTGCGAGGATCAGCTCAATTTGATACAATATAAGTAGGATATATCATAATCATACTACTTACCAAGGCTGTATGATGCTAAAAGGAAGCTTGCTGAACCAGCAAGCACCTGGAAATTATGTTCAGCTGTCTTGTGAATCATGTATCCTATCTTTGTTATCTGAAAATATAGCATTACTTTCATTATCAGCTGCTGTAAATGGAGTTAAATATTAAGAAAAAAATATATTAGAGGGTTCGTGCTGAAGTAACCACTTCAAATTCAAGGACTATTCAAGGAGTATACAAGGACCCAAAAATGAATTTTCAAGGAGTATGTTCAGCTAAATATGCCAAGGTTTTACACGGTGGTTGCACATGGCTGACTTTCAAATTTTCCGTTCTGACTAGATCTATTTCAGAACCATTCAAGTAATGATCAAAGCAAAAATTCAAGGAGTTTTCAAGGAGTTTCGCTAAAATCATAAATTTCAAGAGCTTTTCAAGTGCCCTTGAAAACGTGAATTAAATTCAAGGAGTTTTCAAGGAGTTTAAGGAGTAGCACGAACCCTGTTATTAGTATGGATCTTGATAGACATTTGATTAAGAAAATAACCGTAAGAATTGCTGGACGTTTCGATGACATCCTCTCATCATTCTCAACAACATTTAATGACAGATCAAGGGTGAATTTATAAATATTTTATTTGAAAATAGTATCGAAAAAAATGGATAGAAAAGTTTTCATGTTGGTAAATAGTGTGTAAGGCCTAGGGCAAACGTCGAACTTTCCATGCACCGAACTCATTAAAAACAATGGATATCAGGTGATAATGAGGCGGCATTCTTTGATGTAGTTAAGTTTGGTGCATGGAAAGTTCAACGTTTGCCCTAGGCCTAAGTGTGATATATCATATTAAATGGCAATCCAGTGATTGGTCTATACGCTGTATAAGTCCACATATTAACTAAAAATCATTATACTTAATCCTGATTGGTTCAGATGTGGAATAATCCTGCTGGTTGGTTGGCAAAATGACTTTCTAAAGTACATTAATTTTTTAAAATGGAGAAGTACATTTTTAAATGGAAAACTATTCTAACTTCTTTGTCATGTACGTTGGCAGAAAGCAACTGTTTGGATGCTCTTCATTGTTACAGTCAACTCTTGTTACAGCAAACAACCTCAGGATCATCACTTGATGTCCCTAATGATGGTCATCCACAATAGCGAGAGTTAATGATGGTCATTTCTTTGTCAAGATTTTGCTGATTTTCCTTTCTGCAATAGTGAGGTGTCCATAATATTGGGGTCTCCACAAGGCGAGAGTTGAACATATTTTTTAAGTTGAAACAGAGTTTGAATGGAGAATGAGCAGCCACCCAATTAACCCCCTCKGATCTATCCTTCAAAGATTAGCTAAAATATAATTCATAGTATTACACAATAACATTTGATCTTACATCTCCTCCACTGTCCTTGACACCAATAATGTTTGGATGTGAGGAGAGTTTGATTACAACATCTGCTGACATGTCAATCCCAGTGTTGGCAGGAACACTGTACAATATCACTGGAATTGGGGAATTGTCTGCTACCTAGAAATATCAATCAATCATTCAATTGATCAATCAATCAGTCATGCAATCAATTAATCGATCAGTCAGTCATGCAATCAATCAATCAGTCAGTCAGTTATGCAATCAATCAGTCAGTCAGTCATGCAATCAATCAATCAATCAATCAATCAATCAATCAATCAATCAATCAGTCATGCAATCAATCAATCAATCAATCAGTCATGCAATCAATCAATCAATAGCTAACCAACAACACCAATTAGTTATTCAGTCAATCAATCTATCAGGTCTTTGGTCAGTCAGTTAGTTGGTTAGTGACAGTTGGCCAGACAGACCATCGGCCTGTGCACGCACTCAGTCAGTCAGTCTATCACCAGGAACCCATAAATCAAACAGTCAATCAATCACTCAGTTAATCAATCAATAGGTGAGTCATTTTGTGCCTGACAATAAAATTCCTATGTGACTTAGATAAAAGCCATTACATTAGAGATTACAGTTAGAATATGTGTGTAGTGTATGGGCTTCCTGTGGACTAATTATCCATACCTTGATATAATGGGCTACCAAAGCATCAGCGGTCATGCTGCCTTTAAAAAAGCAGGGGGTTACTACAAGAGCTGCATCAGCACCAGCATCAGCCATTTTCCTGGTCATCTCAATAGTATCTCTCGTTACTAAATGTAGGTTAGAACATCAAAAGGTTTAAATGATATACAAAAGACCTAATAACAAAATACTGTGTATATTCTCTACTTTCACATCCTCATAATGCCTTGCATCTTTGGGGATAACCAATCAAAAAACTGTCCCAAATTGAAAGGTTTCTTAATTGGATTTATATTATACCTGCTTTTATCTGTACAATACTGATTATCAGTTTATTCCAAGTTATTTTTACGTGTACAGATCATCAAGAGTTTTGTTGTCTTACAGAAAATGTATTGACTTACGAAAAAGTTTTTAAAATGTACCTTAAACGTCTTCAAGCTTCTATCTTTTTCTGTTTTTACTTCTTCATTTTATTTTTGGCAACATTGTTTGATCAGCCTTCAGCAAAATAAGTGGGTTTTTACCCTCTGGTTACCCCCAAAAGATGCAAAGGATTATAGGGATGTGAAAGTAGAGAATATAACAAATTATAAAATATTTGAGATTTAATGTGCACTCTGATTTGGCTGGCTTATTTAACCGTGTTTATATCAGAGGACAGAGACACGCTCGCGCAAAATCATTCAATAATATTTTATAAAAGCATTATAAATGGCTGCTTATGTCTCTGTACTGTAATGTAACAAGAGAAACATTCAGCTGTGACAATAAATACAGCTACTTCAAAAAACGTTGCAGGGGCAAGCGGCAAATGACGATCAGTGATTGGCGATTGCATGACTGGAAGGCACAGTTGGCATGTATCTAAACACAAATAATTGTGATATTTTAAATGGTTTTGTTAATTACGAACAACACTGAATAACTTAACAGCAACGTCTGTGTTATTGACAAGAATAATCACATACAAGTAATTCCAGCTGTTCTTGTATCTTGGAAAAACCTATCTCCTATCACTGTCTTATTACCTATTGCTTATTACAGTAGAGTGCACGCACTAAACCCATGAAACAAATACTAACTTTTAGTACTAAATGGTAATAAATAAACAATAGAAAACAAAGGATTCTGTATGAAATAGTACTAATTAGTACTAATTATAGTTCACAGATTTAGTGCCTGCAATCTACCTACAGCCTGTATTACCATAGCATTGCCATGGTCTACATGCAGCTCTTTTAGCCTCTTCTAGCCCAAGTTCTCTAGTTTTCCCCTCAGCTAAACCTAACAATGAGCTAAATTCCAATTTGATCTGTGATTTAAGAAATTTACAGGGTTCGTGCTGAGGTAACCACTTAAAATTCAAGGACTATTCAAGGAGCATACAAGGACCCAAAAATGAACTTTCAAGGAGTATGTGCAGCTAAATATGCCAAGGTTTTACATGGTGGTTGCACATGTCCGACTTTCAGATTTTCCAATCTTTCTGACTAGATCTATTTCAGAACCATGCAAGTAATGATCAAAGCAAACATTCTAGGAGTTTTCAAGGAGTTTCGCTAAAATCATAAAATTCAAGAGCTTTTCAAGTGCCCTTGAAAACGTGAATTATATTCAAGGAGTTTTCAAGTTTTCAAAGCATTTAACTGTGCTTTGAGTTTGATCCACCATGATGGTTATATTTCAGGGTCATATCAATAACATTTGAAAGCCTGAGAATAAACCCTGTCTAGGCAATTTAACTGGAGCATTTACCTTCGCAGCCTGAACCAGCTAGAATAAGCTTGTCTTGTGGAGCAAGCTGTCTCACTTTATGTACTAATTCAACCTTCTCTTCTGGACGCATGTATGCAGACTCTCCATTAGATCCCTGGACGACATATCCTGCAAAACCCAACAAATTATGACTTCAACTATCCTCATTACTAGCATACATGAAAAATTTACTCAATTTTGATTGGCTGACGGCAGTGCAGTTCAAATGAAATACCAGTGCAAAAACTCCGTAATACCAGTGCAGATTACAAATTTTCAGGATTCTGATTGGCTAAAAAAAACAATAAAAATTGAATTAGCCAATCAGATTATAGCAGTTGCCATAGTTACAGAACAGCCTTCCTTCTCTGGACGTTCTCAGGAATTTGAAAGCTCTTTCAAAAATAAACTCGTGTAAATTATTTCCAAATTGCACTCGAAACTATATTATTACCTATACAAATATCTGATTTTATGCAATTCTATTTGATATATATAAGCAATAAATAATAAGCAATGCACATGTCTGAACTGTGATTCAGTGCATGAGCATCAGAGAAGTTAGCTTTTAAGGTAATTCCCTTGAAAGAAATTTTGCCAAAAACTTTGTCCTGAAACTTTGCATGGACATTAATTATGTTATGGACATTTAAAAACTGCAATAAAAAGATGGGGTCACAATTCTCGTTTTTTTGCTAGATGCTCTCCAAATATGTCAATTTATATGTCAATATGGGAATTACCTTAAGTAACACAGGATATAGTCAGGAATGGATCAAGGATTTTAGAAGTGGGGTGACTATTGCAAAGGGTGTTTACAGGAATTCAAGTAAAGGGGGGTGACTGTTATTAATGAATTAAAACCTCATATTTTCAAGACATTAAGGAATCTGAAATTGCTTTACTTGGGATGACAGAATAGACTTTTCAAATGGGGAGAAGTTATTACATTAAACGAGGGGGTAGGTATGGGGGGATACTTTGTATTGTAAACCATATTGGGAGGGAGGGGGAGAGTAGTACATGTAACTTTCTTTATCTATTAGGGTCAAAATTATTTTTTTGAAAAATTATACAGTACAGTACAGTATACATGTAGAAAGCAATTTGATGAACTTTGTTTAGTGTGTTTTAATTTTTTAAATCTTATAAAACCCCTCAAATACAGACTAATCTACATGAATGTACAAAATTTACAGAGGGTTTTTTGGGGGGGGGGGGGAAGGCAAATAAAATAGAAGTTTACCTGTTTCTCCCACATCTCCCCTCCCCAAAAATACAAATAATAACAATGAGTGGACCCTTAAACATGGCAAGTTTCTGCATGGGTACTCTTTCCCATTTAGGGTAGGGATGTGCTGCTGAGCCCTCTCAACCCTGATCCTGTTCCAGAGTAAAATCCCAGAAATTCATACCCTGTTCCAGAGCAAGATCGCTGAAAACCATACTGGCTTGTACCTGTATAGTGAACATAGCTGAGTACCCCCCCCCCTCCCCCCGGGCAAAAAAAAAACCACGTTAAATATGCTAATAATTTATGTTCTTGATATAATAGAGTACAAACACTAAAAGTGTGCAACACTTTGCACTGTTTAGTAGTAAATAGTGCTAATTAAACAATAGAAAACAATAGGATTAGCAGTATTTAGCAGTATTTAGTGGTATTTATGTTACACACTTATAGTGTTTGTACTCTAGCAAAAACTCTAAATACCAACAAAACCAAGCTACCCTACCTCTAAAAGGAATAGAATTCCACATCTCCATGTTATCTTGCAGTCCCTTATCGTATACGTCCTCATTACTATCAAACGGTGTTACTATTGGAGGGTAAATACCAGACAGATCTACTACACCAGACTTCCCTGTGGTATACGAAGCCATTTTCACGGTATTCAAATACGATATATGGTTATTTGCTCTGCTGGTACGTAAACTGTTGGTCTGGGTTAGAGATGAGCAGAGTCTTACGGAATAACGTAAGTTATTCGTGTTTAAAAAGACGTTTGTTGATAAAAAGAGACGAAATTTGGCCGCCATAATATGATCCCTTGTCGACTCCCTTGTCCCGTAGGGGAATCCGCTGGCTCAATACCACAGGTAACCCAAACCAATGAGATCAATGGGACTCCTACTTTAAAGTGTGAAGGGGCACTCCACCCCTTGGAGCAGCCTCCAAAAAAAAAACATTTATCATAATCAATCAATAATAATATAATAYTTTGAGTAGTTTTGACGTTGAATAAAATTTTCAAGGAAATTTGCGTGGTGTTTTCAAAACTTTTAACTGGCTACCCCAGGCTACACAGGCTACCCAAGCTAGCTTGGTTGGGTGAACACTCCACGTATTATTGGAGTTAAATAAATTATCGTAGCCTTACCCTTAAACTTTATCCAGTATTGAAAATTTCTCGTTCATTGTACAGTGAGCGCATGCGTGTATTTGTAAACAAAACACTCAGCAAAACACATTATTTTGGATAGAAATGAGGCAACTGAAAGTAAATTGCGTGCTGTATACTCCCATAAAGCACGCGCTCCCACCAACCAAACAGAACGCAAGATTATAACTGTTATTTTAGAATTAACATATTACACCGCACGACGCCATTTTGCTAGCTTGGTAAGCCCCCAACGTGTTTGGCCCTACGTGCCACACAGGATGACGATGATGATGATGGTGTAACCCCCAAGACGCAAAGTATTATAGGCAGCGCAATTTTTGTAGAGACATTAAACATTGATCAATGCTTGGTTAAGGGATGGACCATTAGATTTTTGATGAGGGGGGGATTGGACAATTTATTTTGTGCAGGACATTTTTTTTACTCCTCATGGCTGTGTAGGAATTTTTTTTGGACATAATTTGGATTTTTTTCCTGACACTTTTCTTATGCACGATTTTTTTTCACTCCTTAAAGCTGTGCTCGATCTTTTTTTTACTTTTTATTTTTGCCCACCCCCCCACCCCTCGAAAATCTAATGGTCCGTCCCTAAGCGAGGTGCTTCATTTCAAGACGATTAAAAGATCCAAGATTTTGGACGGAAGATGTGGCTTAGAAGAAGTGCAGAAAATGGAAAGAAAGATGAAATTTTCAATCAAGTATGGTCTCAGGAAGTTTAACTTTTCTTTCCCTATCCGTACAAAACAAACAAATCCTTCAAACCACACTAGCCCCAACACCGTTTGACTCAAACTCGATGTGGTTTGGCTTACGCTGACATCAGGCGGTTTATTTGTGCTTTCCTACAGACATTTTATCATTATTTGCAACGTCCACGCCATTAGTTCTCGGGGAATACTATCAATACAAAAGTGCTAGAGTAAGCCCTTCTTGACTTCACAATGAACCAGGGTATGTCATTTCTTTTGATCAGGAAACGTGGCGATAGTTCATTAGATTAGTTCAGCTATTTAACCACGTTTTTCATGTCAAACATTATTTATTGCGCAATACCTCTTTACCACCACCATCGAAAGAGAAATTAGAAAATTAAATCAAAATCGACGGTCGGGCACGCCTCCTTTTAAATTAGTTTTAGCTAGTTGATTATCGCCTAAGCCAAGTTGATATCTACGTGTAAACATTTCGTCTAGACAGCGGCTGAAAAATTAGATAGTTACTTAGTTATTAGCTGCGGGATACCCGCGGTTATTAGACGCAATCTCATTAAGTTTACTCTCAGAAGAGTTGGAAGTTATTACAAATTGCATTTATTTAAGATAACATGTATCCATCAAGCTACGAATAGTCAAACTAATCTGGGCAGGTTAAATGGTAAAATATTAGTGTATATAAGTGTATTGCTTAATCGTACATCTCAGTTTGTGAATCTCAGTTCTGGAACATGCGCAGAGCTTTCATTTCTGTGTTTATTTTTTCATTTTTCAGAAGAATATACACATACCTGAGTGTATAGCCATTTTCGCATTTTGTGTTGATAGCTCAGTCATCAATCGGCTTACACGGACCCTTACCAACCATTGTATGACACACCGCGTCTTCCATTGTCATGTGACATGCACCAACACTTGTTAGATCATCCACATCGATCGCGTGCAGTTACTTTGGCGAGATCTAGTAAAAGCTATTTTATAGCACATCCGATCGACCTTCCATGAGTAAATATTCTGATTACAAAGTAACCCGCCGAAAAATGCTCGACCTTCAGTCTTCAAACGCGAATCTCCTGCAGATGTACCCAACAACACATCTTGGCTCAGTGGGATTATCTACCACAAAGGCCGGACGAGAGCTTGAATTTCCGTTTTTATAACCAAAGTTAACAAACCAAGAGAACTGACGACCGGCTAAGACAACACACGCTTTCGCTTTGACTCATAATGAAAACTGCAAGTCAAAAAGCCGAATTTTTTAAAGTGTTTTTACAAAACTTCACGCGCCGTTTTTGCTGTTTTCTTGCTTGACATTTTGTTATTTGTCTTGAGTCCCCTGACTGCCCAATGCTATTGCAGTTTTCAGTCTTCCTACGCTGTCGGTCAGTCTATTACCTTGCACAGCTGTAGGGCGCTCAGATCCTTAGAATTCAATACCCAAATCTTGTGAGAATTAAGCTTAATTTTGTCAGTTATCTTAAATCCGATTTTGTCATCAGTCGAGTCTATCCCGTTGTAGTTTGCCGAACGTATTGTGTTGATCTACACTACACGCACTTTGAACGTAGGATACGGAAGGCTTGCTACCATATGAAAATACTAAACAGTGTGTATGAAGCAAGTTCTGTGCAGTGCTATGGCAAACGCAGAATCGACGGCAGAAAAATTAAGGCGTTCTAAGGTAACTATTAACGAATTTTTGAATCCGATGAAAAAAGCGTAAAGCGTTGGTAGTTTTTTAATAACAAAAATGAAGATTCAAAAACAATTCGATCTTTCTCGCATTATTAAAGTACCCTCTGTTATAAAGATGCTATACATACCACGAGAGCTAGTTGACAAAATGAATTCAAAATGAAGGAGAGACTTAATAATGCATTATTATCATTAATACTAGATATATCTAATGCAAATTTTTTATTAGGTTCTGTTGACTTCACTCGTTTGATTTTAAAACAGACATGAGAATCATTAGATGATACATGATGTGTTTGTATACACGGCTTTATAGATTACTCTTGCTTGCAATGATCGAAGTATATAGAGCAGATTTCATACATAATTTTGGTCAATTGCCATTCTAATCGTACATTCTTCACAAAAAGTAGTAGTGGTTAACTCGAAATACATTTTACTTTTTGACCACCACTGCACGCTTAATTCATTCACGTTTGTGATCATCATATTTGTTTTTTCAGTCTTTCTCCAGTAATTTTTAAGAGTCATTTTCCGTATATCACAATGTAAACTTGTTAAGGGTAAAGTCAAAAGTTTCGTATGACTGTGAAAAAGTTGGTGCCGTATTCGATCGCGGTGCCTTGCCACGACCGTGATGCTTTCTAGAATTTTTATTGGCGAATTTTTTTCAAGCGTCAAATATTGGTAAATACGTCCTGATTGGGATTTTGTTTCTACTTTTATTGTTTTATTGGAAGTATTATATTAACATAATAATATAAAATGTAAACAAATACACATACATCTGCTTGTATCTATCGGTTACGGACTTCTCGACTTAGAAATCACATGTTGTGGTTAAATACCTACAAGCTTCGACTCAAGCATTACCTATTGTATTGTTTGATGGTGGTCAACGTGGACTTTGGAATGCCTACTGTGAGGGGAAGAAGACTTCAGTTAAACCAATGTTTTTTCAATCAAAGTTCGAAGGATACAGTGTAGTTAAACCAGAAAAAAAAAATCCATCTGACCTGAATAAAGTTAAGATATATCTTCAATCAAAAACTTTTATTACAATTTGTACCTTTCAAGTATTTCCTTATTTTCCGGCTTTCAGACACTTAGATAGTTTGGAATTGAAAAATATCAAAATATAAATTTTATCAGCTCATTTTGCATAAGAATTTTGAGCTTACATGAGAGGTGTTTGTAATTATCACCTCACCATATACTGAAGAATAGAAGAAAGGAATGGAAGAAAGTCCGTGAAGCATATATATCAATCAAAGGGTTTAGAGCAACGCTTTGTTCGTAATAGCTTCATTATAAACTCGTGTTGTTTCGGGTTAAAAAAATACTCAGATTTTGAGGTGGGTTTCCATAAAAATCTTCGTTTGCTGTACTTATCGCACGACTATGTTTTCTTCTCAGTGTCAACTTGTCCCACGAAAGAAGCGTCTTCCAAACGGGTTAGCTAACACTAGTAACTAAGCTTTTAAGTCTGATTTCTTTTTGTGTGTGTGTGGTAAAAATGTGCAAACAAATAAGGTAAATAATAACTGAAGGTCGATGAAAATTGCATCAGGGCATTTCGCAGCGAATTTCCGATTGCAGTATGATATCCATGCTAAGAATGCCCAAAGAGGTTTATCCACAAGAGAGATAATCTCCAAGACAAACACCGCGTACAACTAGTTGATCGTTTGTCGGTAAATCATTTGATTTCTTTAAACATGCTGCAAAGTAGAAAAAGAGAAAATCTTGTGTTGAAAGATTGACTGTTAATATATTAACTGCTTAACAATGAGGTGATTCTGTAATACCATTTATATTATATATCTGGCAAGGAAGCCTTTGACCATCGCTCATACCACACACAACAAGCATATGTAACCTTTGCTTAAGTTCAGTAATTATTATTATTATTATCATTATTATTATTATTACTATTATTATTATTATTATTATTATTA